AAGGGAGATGTCCATTTCAAAAGGATCAGCACAGTACCCAAGCCTTTGTAGCAGAGTCCTGTAAACATTCTTCATTCAAGTTCAAGAGTACAAAAGATTTCGTGGCACTTAAACCCTCAGCCAAGGGATCCCGGCAAATTACTTGCCTAGATCCCAACAAGGCACCAAAAAAATTGTACTTGTCGTGTGCCCAAACTCTACTGCATGATCAAACTGTGACATCACTGGGAATCACCCTGGGAGCTCCAAGGATTAACCTTCTTCCCGGCCACGAGAACTCACAGCAATCATGCTCACCAGGGTGTCCTCGGAGACAACCCATCCCATTGTCCCTGTCACTTCCTTTGCACCCAGCCCAAGAGCCACTCTACTCTGTGGAAGACTCTCCCAAGAGAAGGAAACACAACATTCATGCCAGGTTGACTCCTACCACCAGCTCACACAGGCACTACTGCCAAGTGTCAATGCCACACTCAAGGGGATGTCTGATCTCTTCAGACCATTGCAGAACTCTGCTGCCACATCAGACCACCAGCTGAGACATCTAATGCTAGCCAGGCGACCAGGCTTTGTGTCTCGGTTGGCCAGGAAGAGGAGCACTCGGTTCAGAGAACCACTGCACAGACAACCAGGGCCTTGGCCACACCCAGCAGACCCTTGAGGTGAATACGTAGCTCCGCCTGCATCCACACAATTGGATCCTGCACACCCTGTTGCATCCTTCACCACTGCTGCCCATGTGGGGAGCCGCCACGCAAACTCCCAGCACCACTGCACCAGGCAATCTTCTGCTTTGAACAGATAACTGAGGGATCGTCCCCTGGGGCTGCTCGAATGGACCATTCACCATGGGCACCCCCTGGGGTTGTGGAGAGAACCGCTACCCTGGATGTGGGCCCTCACTGCCATAGTCCCTACCAGAGGCAATGTGCTGGACCTCAGTCACGATGAGAACGACGGTTGTGAGTTCTCACTCATTTTGTTCAGCTTTTCCAAGGAATGTTTATGGGGGAGTCATCATCGATCCAAGCACATGCCAAGGTGTAGGGCCCTCAACACTGAAGGCCTGGTGCTTCGTCAGCTGCTTAGTCTAACCATCTTTTCACCGCACAGTGTCCAGGGATGTGCCCCAGTGCAGGGAGGAAGGTGACCACTGCAGATGTGTGGCCCAGGCGTGGCCAAAGTCTCCAGCGAGCATTCAGGTGTCTGTGGGGCTGTCAAGTGATATGGCTTTTTGCCTAGTGCTGGCCTGGGCCATGCTTACCATCCTCAGAGATCCAGGAGCTTCCCGCTCACCAAGGGTAGTTTGAATTCTAGCATCCTCTAGGTTCTCAAGTCCTCAGCAGAAGCATACTTCTTCCCACCCTGCACGGCCACGTCGACATCAGCAACCTGTCCTGAGAGGTACACACAAACCACAGGCACGCTTGAGAAAACCAGAACCCTGGCCTGCTCTGTGCCGCCACGCTAGGCTGCTGTGGTATCACCCGCCATAGTGCGTCCCCTCAATCTTTATCCCTGAGCGTCCTTTCACTCGAGCCTGTCTCCATGATAGCACTATGCATACACAAGTTTCTCGTGAGTAGGCTCTTGTGAATTCTAAGCTTGAGTTTGGAATTCAGGGAAGATGTGAGTCACGGTATATGTGCATTTGTGTCACAAGTGAGTGTTGGACCTGCCACTAGTGTTCTTTAAAAGGACAGTTTTTGTATCTACCAGCAGGCACTGCTTTGCTCGGGGTCTCAGCCTTCAATACCATGGGTAGGCACTGACATCTGGTCCACACTGACATGGACCATGGGCACCCCGAAAACCCGTGGCAACGTCCAGGGAAGAAAGGACCGCTTGTGTGATGCATGCTGTCCCCCGGGACCTGAGATAGAGTCATGCATTTCCACGGCTAGAAACTCTGCCAGGTGTGGGGTGCCCTGCACAGTCCCCAGTCATGAGTACGAACACTACACCTCCTCAACAACTGCCCATGGGTTCTCTGTTGTGGCCAGAAAGGGCTGGAGACCCACTGCAAACACAGCCAACCGAGAACTTCCGCTCCTGCATCTCCCAATCTCATTTGTGTGTTGTGGTCTCGCAGGTCTAGGGGGCTAGCAGTGGCTTTGCCCAGATGCACCCAGGGTCAGACTTGACCCCCAGTGACCTCTCCCTAATTGCCTCTCCGTAATCGCCCCGACCCTGGCAAGCCCACCAAATGTCCTGAAGTCAGCACAGGGGAACATGCAACCAGCCCTCAAACCACTGAGATAAACCTCACACCTGATAAACCAAAGGTCTGTGCAATACTGGAGTGGCACAAATGAGCAGCGACTGGACCAGGGAAAACCACCAGGATAATATTCCTGCCGCATGACCCAATCCCCCAAGACAGGGTATGTTCAGACAAAAGATTAGTCAGAACCTCAGAGTACAGCAAATGCCTCTAAAAACATCCTCCCACCCACAAGACATTGAGGTTTCTCTGCTGGCCAAGACAATCTGGGCTCGGGCTCCAGGAATATAGGCACAGGAGCCAGGGGCATGAGTTATAGGCCCTGAAGTGTCCAACAGCTGTTGTTACTAGCTGAGGGAAGCTACCATGCCCAAGGTCCTAACTCTCCTGAGTTAACTGTGTCACTTCACTGGTTCTGCCTCTGAAGTCCAGGTAAAGGGGGTTTCGTCCATTTCAAATAGGAGAAGCACAGTACCCAGGATTCGTGGCACAGTCCTCCAAACCTACTTCATCCATGGGCAAGAGTACAACAGATTACATGGCACTCACAACCTCAGCAAAGGGATCCAGGCACATTACTTGCCTAGATCCCAACAAGGCACCAAAAAAATTGTACTTGTTGTGTGCCCAAACTCTACTGCATGACCAACTCTGACATCACCAGGAATCACCTTGGGAGCTCCAAGGATTAACCTTCTACCTGGGGTCACGAGAACTCACAGCAACCATGCTCACCAGGGTTTCCTCAGAGACAACCCATCCCATTGTCCCTGTCATTTCCTTTGCACCCAGCCCAAGAGCCACTCTACTCTGTGGAAGACTCTCCCAAGAGAAGGAAACACAACATTCATGCCAGGTTGACTCCTACCACCAGGTCACACAGGCACTACTGCCAAGTGTCAATGCCACACTCAAGGGGATGTCTGATCTCTTCAGACCATTGCAGAACTCTGCTGCCACATTAGACTACCAGCTGAGAGACCTAATGCTAGCCAGGCGACCAGGCTTTGTGTCTCCTGTTGGCAGGAAGAGGAGCACTCGGTTCAGAGAACCACTGCACAGACAACCAGGGTCTTGGCCACACCCAGCAGACCCCCGAGGTGAATACTTGGCTCCGCCTGCATCCACACAATTGGATCCTGCATACCCTGTTGCATCCTTCACCACTGCTGCCCATGTGGGGACCCGCCACACAAACTCACTTCACCACTGCACCAGGCAATCTTCTGCCCAGAGCAGACAACTGAGGGATCGTCCCCTGGGGCTGCTCGAATGGACCTTTCACCATGAGCACCCCCTGGGTTTTGCAGAACCGTTACCCTGGACGTGGGCCATTACTGCCATAGTCCCTGCCAGAGGCAATATCCTGGACCTCAGTCACGATGAGAACGACGGTTGTGAGTTCTCACTCATTTTGTTCAGCTTTTCCAAGGAATGTTTATGGGGGAGTCATCATTGATCCAAGCACATGCCAAGGTGTAGGGCCCTCAACCCCAAAGGCCTGTTGCTTCATCAGCTGCTCCGCCCAACCACCTTCGCACCCCGCAGAGTCCAGGGATATCCTCCAGTGCAAGGAGGACAGACGGTCCACTGCAGTGGTGCGGTCCACTGCAGAGGTGTGGCCAGGGAGACCCCAAAGACTCCAGTGAGCATAAAAAGCCTGCTGGTGTGTGAAGTGCTTGCCTTTGTGCCCATATCTAGCCTTGGCCATGCTTACCGTCCTCAGAGATCCAGGAACTTCCCACTCACCAAGGGCAATTTGAATTCTACCATCATATAGGTCCTCAAGTCCTCAGCAGAAGCACACTTCTTGCTGCCCTACATGGCCATTTTGACATCAGCAAGCGGTCCTGAGAAGTACACACAAACCACAGGCACGCTTGAGAAAAACAGAGCCATGGCCTTCTCTGACCTGCAATGCTTAGGACGCCCCTGGTCTCTGCGCCACAGCACATCCCCTCAATCTTCATCCCTGAAGCTTCCTTACACACAAGCCAGTCTGTCCATGATGAACTCTGGTTATACACGTTTCTCTTGAGTGTGCTGCTGTGGGTTCTCAGCTTGAGTTCTGAATTCTGGGAAGTTGCGAGTTACGCTACATATGTGTCCATGTCCCTAGTGTGTATTGGTCCTGCCATCGATGACCTTTGCCTGAAGAGTTTTGGCATCTACCTGCCGGCACTGCTTTGCTGGTGTCTGAGCCTTCAATATCATGATGGGCACCGACATCTGGCCCAGAGTGACAAGGTCCACAGGAACCCCACACACTTGTGGCAGCTAACAGGGAAAGAAAGAACCGCTGTGCAAGGCATACTCCCTCATAGGACCTGAGACACAGTCAGGCCTTTGGTCGCCTAGAACCTCTGCCAGGTGTGGGGTGCCCTGCACAGTCCTCAGTCATGAATACAATCAGGGTACCTCCTCAATAGCTGCCCAGGATTTCTGTGTTGCGGCCGGAAACAGCAAGAGCTCTGCTGAAACACAGCCAACTTCGCACTTGCGCTCTTAAATCTCCCAATCTCATTTGTGTGTCAGTGGTCACGCATGTCTGGGAGGCCAGCAGTGGCTTTGCCCAGATGCACTCAGGGTCAGACTTGACCCCCAGTGACCTCTCGCTAATTGCCTCTCTTTAATTGCCCCGACACTGAGAAACCCTCTGAATGTCCTGAAATCAATTCTGGGGAAAATACTACTAACCCTCAAACCCACTGAAGATTCAACCTCACACCTGCCAACCAAGAGGACGGTACTACCCATGACCAGAACAACTGAGCACCAACCAGACCAGGGAAAAGCACCAGGATTATGTCCCTGGCAGATTACCCAGTCACCCAAGACAGAGTATGTTCCAGCATTGGATTATTCTCAGAACCCCGGAGTACAGTAAATGCCTAAAAACATCCTCCCACCCACAAGACATCGAAGTTTCTCTGCTGGCCATGACTTCTGGGCTCAGGCTCTGGGATTACAGGCACTGGACAGGGACATGAGGTACAGGGCCTCAGGATTCCAGCAGCAGATGTTGCAAGCTGAGGGAAGCCACCATGACCAAGGTCCTAACTCTCCTGAGTTAACTGCGTCACATCACTGGTTCTGCGTTGGAGGCCCAGGTAAAGAGAGAGTCCATTTCAAATAGGAGAAGCACAGTAACATGTCTTTGTGACACAGACCTACAAAGCTGCTTCATCCATGATCAAGAGTACAACAGATTATGCTGCACTCACACCCTCAGCTAAAGGGATCCCTGAAGATTGCTCACCTGTTATCCCTCCCACCAAGTAACCTTCAAAAATGCACCAGATGTGTGCACAAGCTCTACTGCATAGTCACAAAATGATAATACCAGGGCTCACCCTTGGTGACCCAAGGAATACCCTTCTGCCCCACCTAGAGAAACCACAGCAACCATGCTCACCAGGGTTTCCTTGGAGACAACCTATCCCATTGTCCCTGTCATTTCCTTTGCATCAACCCTAAGAGCTACTGCACTTTATGGAAGAAACTCCCAAGTGAAGGGAACACACAGTCATGCCAGGCTGACTCCTAACACCAGGTCACACAGGCACTACTGCCAAGTGTCAATGCCACACTCAAGGGGATGTCTGATCTCTTCAGAGCCCTGCGGCAGACTACTGCCACTTCAGAACACAAGCAGAGAGACCTAATGCTGGCCAGAGGACTGGGCTTCATGACTCCTGTTGGCCAAGAAGAGGAGCACTTGGTACCATGACCCACTGCACAGGCAACCAGGGCCTCAGCTGCATGCAACAGACCCTTGAGGTATACACTTAGCATGGGCACATCCACACAATCAGATCCTGCACACCCTGCTGCATCCTTCACCACTGCTGCCCACATGGGTAACCGCCACGCAAACTCCCAGCACCACTGCACCAGGCACTTTGCTGCCCAGAGCGGCCGACTGAGAGATCACCTTGCTGGCGCTGTTCAAATAGACCTTTCACCATGGGCACCCCTGGGTTGTGGAGAGAACTGCTACCCTGGACGTGGGCCCTCACTGCCATAGTCCCTGCCAGAGGCAATGTGCTGGACCTCAGTCACGATGAGAACGACGGTTGTGAGTTCTCACTCATTTTGTTCAGCTTTTCCAAGGAATGTTTATGGGGGAGTCATCATTGATCCAAGCACATGCCAAGGTGAGAGACATACAAAGCCTGGCGCTTCGTCAGCTGCTCAGTCCAACCACCTTCCCAGCCCTGCAGAGTCCAGGGATACCCCCCAATGCAAGGAGGACAGGCGGTCCACTGCAGAGGTGTGGCCCAACCGTGGTCAAATGCACAGTGAGCATACAGCTCTCTGTGGGCTGTGAGGTGCTAAGGGCTTTGTCTCCAGGGTTGGCCCTGGAAATGCTTACCATCCTCAGAGATCCAGGAGCTTCCCACTCACCAAGGGTAGTTTGAACTCTAGCATCATGTAGGGCCTCAAGTCCTCAGCAGAAGCACACTTCTTCCCACCCTGCATGGCCACGTTGACATCAGCAAGTGGTCCTGAGAAGTACACACAAAACCACAGGGACACTTGATAAAACGAGAGCCCCGGCCGAGCCACGGTTAGGCTGCCCATGGTGACCCCTGCCACCGCGCCCCCCCTCAATCTTCATCCCTGAAGCTTCCTTACACACAAGCCAGTCTGTCCATGATGGGACTATGGGCACACAAGTTTCTCCTGAGTAGGCCTTTGTGGGTTATCAGCTTGACTTCTAAATTCTGGGAAGATGTGAGTGACGGTATATATGTGTCCGTGTCCCTCGTATGTGTTGGTCCTGCCGTCGGTGACCATGGTCTGGACAGGTTTGACATCTACCTGCCGGCACTGCTTTGCTGGGGGTCTGAGCCTTTAATACCGTGGATGGGCACTGACATTTGGCACAGAGTGAAAATTTCCACGCGCACCCCAAAACCCGTGGCAACTTCCAGGGAAACAAAGGCCACTTTGTGTGGCATACTGCCTCATAGGACCTGAGACAGAGTCATGCATTTTCACTCCTTGTACCACCGCCAGGTGTGGTGTGCTCTGAGAGTCCCCAGTAGTGTGTACAATCAAGGGACCTCCTCTACATTGCCAGGGTTTCTGTGTTGCGGCAGCAAAGAGCAAGAGACTCACTGCAAACACAGCCCACCTCGTACTTGCACTCCTGCATCTCTCAATCTCGTTTTTCTTTCAGTGGTCACACAGGTCTGGGAGGCCAGCAATGTCTTTGCCGAGCTGCACCCAGGGTCAGACTTGACCCCAGTGACCTCTCCCTAATTGCTCCTCCCTAATCGCCCCAACCCTGGCAAGCCCTCTGAATGTCCTCAAGTCAGCACAAGGGAACATGCAACCAGCCCTCAAACCCACCAAAGATTCAACCTCACACCTGCCAACCCAGAGGACTACACGATCCACATTCAGCACAAGTGAGCCCCCAACAGACAGGGAAAACCACCAGGATTATGGCCCTGCCACATGACCCAATCATCCAAGACAGGGTATGTTCAGGCAACGGATTAGTCTCAAAACCCCAGGGTACAGCAAATGCCTCTAAAAACATCCTCCCACCCACAAGACATTGAGGTTTCTCTGCTGGCCAAGACAATCTGGGCTCGGGCTCCAGGAATATAGGCACAGGAGCCAGGGGCATGAGTTATAGGCCCTGAAGTGTCCAACAGCTGTTGTTACTAGCTGAGGGAAGCTACCATGCCCAAGGTCCTAACTCTCCTGAGGTAACTGTGTCACTTCACTGGTCCTGCCTCTGAAGCCCAGGTAAAGGGGGTTTGTCCATTTCAAATAGGAGAAGCACAGTACCCGGGCCTTCGTGGCACAGTCCTGCATAACTGCTTCATCCATGGGCAAGAGTACAACAGATTACATGACACTCACACCCTCGGCAAAGGGATCCCAGCACATTATTTGCCTAGAATCTCCCCAAGGCACCAACCAAATTGTACCAGTCATGTGCCCAAACTCTATTGCATGATCAAACTCTGACATCACCGGGAATCACCCTGGGTCATCCATGATGCACTCGCTGCCACGCCCTGAGAACTCACAGCAACCATGCTCACCAGGGTTTCCTCAGAGACAACCCATCCCATTGTCCCTGTCATTTCCTTTGCACCCAGCCCAAGAGCCACTCTACTCTGTGGAAGACTCTCCCAAGAGAAGGGAACACAACATTCATGCCAGGTTGACTCCTACCACCAGGTCATACAGGCACTACTGCCAAGTGTCAATGCCACACTCAAGGGGATGTCTGATCTCTTCAGAGACCTCAACACTCTGCCGCCACATCAGACTACCAGCTGAGACACCTAATGCTAGCCAGGCGACCAGGCTATGTATCTCCTGTTGGCCAGGAAGAGGACCACCCGATTCTGAGACCCACTGCACAGACAACCTGGGCCTTTGCTGCACACAGCCTACCATGGAGGTGAATACTTGGCCTGCGTGCATCCAAACAATCAGATCCTGCACACCCTGCTGCATCCTTCACCACTGCTGCCCACGTGGGGAGCCGTCATGCAAACTCCCAGCACCACTGCACCAGGCACTCTGCTGCCCAGAGTGGCCAACTGAGAGATCGCCTTGCTGGCGCCGCTCAAATGGACCTTTCACCATGGGTACACCCTGGGTTGTGGAGAGAACCGCTACCCTGGATGTGGGCCCTCACTGCCATAATCCCTGCCAGAGGCAACGTGCTGGACCTCAGTCACGATGAGAACGACGGTTGTGAGTTCTCACTCATTTTGTTCAGCTTTTCCAAGGAATGTTTATGGGGGAGTCATCATCGATCCAAGCACATGCCAATGGGTGGGGCCCTCAACCCCAAAGGCCTGTTGCTTCATCAGCTGCTCAGTCTAACCACCTTTGCACCGCGCAGGGTCCAGGGATGTGCCCCAGCTTGGGAGGAAGGCGACCACTGCAGAGGTGTGGCCCAGGCACGACCAAAGTCTCCCGAGACCATACAGGTGTCTGCAGGGCTGTTAAGTGCTATGGGCTTTTCTCCAGTGCTGGCCTTCGCCATGCTTACCGTCCTCTTTGATCCAGGAACTTCCCGCTAACCAAGGGTAGTTTGAATTCTAGCGTCTTGTAGGGCCTCAAGTCCTCAGCATAAGCACACTTCTTTCCACCATGCACTGGCCACGTCATCATCAGCGACCAGTCCTGAGGGGTACACACAAACCACAGGCACACTTGAGAAAACCAGAGCCATATCCTGCTCCGAGCTGCCAGGCTTAGGCTGCCCGTGGTGTTCCATGCCACTGCGTGTCCCCTCAATCCTCTTTCCTGTATCTTCCTTTCAATCTAACCAGTCTTCCCACATGGGAGTATTGGTACACAAGTTTTTCCTGAAAAGGCCCTTGTGGGTTTTTTTCTTGATTTCCTAATTTTCCATGAAGGGCACCTACATCTGGCCTTGAGAGACAAGTTCCCTCAAACCCACTCAGCTTCCCTGGTACCACTTGTACAATGCATGCTGCCTCAGAAGACCTGAGACACAGTCAAGTCTTTGGCCCTCTGTAGCATCTTGCGGGTCTGGGTCACTTTCCAGCATCACCAGAATTCAGTACAAGCAAGGGACCTCCTCAACAGCTGATCCAGGAGTTCTGTGTTGCACTGGGAAAGAGAAAAGCACAACTACAATATGGCCAACCTAGTTCCTTCACTCTGTATCCCTCCATCTCACATTTTGTCAGTGGAGACCCTTTGGCCACACAGGTCTCAGAAGGCACCTGTACCTTTGCCCAGATGAATCCAGTTTTGGGCATGGGCCCCCAGCGTCCTCCTCCTAGGATGCTGGCCATCAATCTCCCTTATCCTGTCAATCCCTCAGAATGTCCTGAAGCCAGCTCTCAGTAAATCTGCCCTTGGCCCACAAACCCAGAATGCTGTCAATAGGATACCCATCTCTGCTTCTGTCTCCAACTTGCTGCTAATGCACATCCTGAGAGGAACCAATGATGGCTTCCTATAATGCATGTGGGAAACCTGTATTCAGTTGATGATTCCTAGCTGGTGCTCTGAACCAGTCCTAAAAGTTGCAGATATAGGAAGAATGAATTAGCAGATGGCAGATCTGTGTATGTGTGTATCTGTCTTGCTCCCTCCCCCACACCCACATTTTCCTTCCTGTAAAAGAAATACCTTTTTAATGCAAAAGATAGGGGCCAGCATTTTGGTGTAGCAGGTTGAGCCACCACCTGCAATGCCAACATTTCCTATGGGTGCTGGTTTGAGTTCTAGCTGTTCCACTTCCAATCCAGGTCCTTGCTAATGTGCCTCAGAGGACAGTGGAAGATGGCCCAAGTACTTGGGCCCCTTACCTGCACATGGAAGACCCAGGTGGATTTCCAGGCTTCTGGCTTCGGCCTCGTTCAGCCCCAAACATTGCAGCTATTTGTGGAGTGAACAGTGGATAGAAGATCTCTCCATCAATGCTTCTCTCTGTAACTCTGCCATACAAATAAATAAAACTTTAAAAATGCAAAAGACAAAGAAAAAATGTACAAAACATTAACCCTAAATAAGATGATAATAGATTTATGATCAGAAAACATGGAGGCCTAAGGGCATATTCAAATTGTTGAAAACAAAACACAAATGCAGAACAATTCCCTAGATAGCTGCGCTAGACTTTAAAAATGAAGAATAACTTAAGACATTCAAAAATAAACAAAAACTAAGATAATGTATTGCAGAATGATATACTATGAGGAAAATTGAATGGAGATTTATGAAAGTGAAATAGAAGAACACGAGATAGCAACTTTCAACTCCAGATGAAAAGAGGATCAATAAAATATTAAGGAAATCATTACAAAAAGCAGTATAAATGTATTACCTGTTAAAATTCCTTGCTTCTCGTATCAGGTTTAAAAGATAGCTACAAGGGATGGACAATGGGCACAACAGTTAAGATGCTGCTTGCAGGATACACATTTTATACCCATTTCCCATATCGAAATTGCTGGTTGGAGTCTCAATCTCTCTTCTTCTAATCCAGCTTCCTGCTACTGCACATCCTGGGAGGCATCAACTGATACTCAAGTACAATCCCTGCCACCTATGTGGGAGATACAGATGGACTCTAGCTCCTGGCTTCAGCCTGGCCTGGCTCTGGCCGTTACAGGCATTTGATCTAGTAGATTCTGTTCTCTTACGTCTGTTTCTTTGGCTTTCAAATAAATTTAAATAAATAAATAAATAAAAAGTTTGCAGAAAAATACCACTTGGTACATACACATCCCATACTGTAGTGACTAGTTTGAGTCCCAGTTATTCCGTTTCTTATCCAGCTTCCTGCTAATGCACACACTGGGAGAGGGCAGGTGATGATTCAATTACTTTGGTCCTTGCCACGCATATACAGGATCGATCTGCAATATGCTCTCAGCTTCTGGTTTGGGCCTGGACAGGCCTGTCCAGGCAGCTATGGGCAACTGAGGAATGAAACAGCAGATTGAAGATATCCTTCTGCTCTCTGCCTCTTTCTCTTAAATAAAATGCCTTTCAAATAAAATAAAATTTATTTAAAAAGACAACTGTGATACACAATACTTCTAAAACTGGTAAAAGACTTTAATGATAGAGCTAGCATTGTGGCCCAGCGGCTTAAGTCACTGCCTGCAATACTTGCATCGCAAATGAGTGCTGACTCAAGTTCCACCTGCTCCACTTCCAATCAGCTCCCTGCTAAAAGTACCTGGGAAGGCAGTGGAATTTACCCCAAGTTGTTGGGCCATATCACCCATGTGGAAGACCCAGAGAGAATTCCAGGCTCTTGGTTTTGGGTTGAAGCCATCTGGAGAGTGAACAAGCAAATGGAAGATTAGTATTTCTCTTCCCCCTACCCCTCCCCCACCTCTTTTTCAAGTAAATAAACAATTTTTAAAGGAGACTTAGAATGAATAACAATGTCATTTGAAAAACAAAAATTTGAAAAAATTTGAAAAAAAAAAAAAGGAAAGGTACAAGAAGTAAACTCTTCAGTTAAAAGGTACACTTTTACATGAGTTAGATTAAAAGAAATTAGTAATCAACTGTAATCCAAGTCATCTTCCACTGCCATCCTAGATGTATTAGCAAGAAGGAGGATAGGAAATACAGTAACCAGAACTCAAGCTGGCACTCCACTACAGGATGCCATTGTCAAAGAGGTGCTTAACCTGCTGAATCACAACTTTGGCCAATGTTCCTACAAATTCCTAGTCTTCAAATTCAAGAGGTTATTTGCTTCTATAATAGATAACTAGGGGCCAGTGCTGTGTGGCGCAGCGGGTTAAAGCCCTGGCCTGAGGTGCTGGCATCCCATATAGGCGCTGGTTCTAGTCCCAGCTGCTCCACTTCCAGTCCAGCTCTCTGCTATGGCCTGGGAAAGCAGTACAAGACGGCCCAAGTCCTTGGACCCCTGCACCCACAAGGGAGACCCGGAAGAAGTTCCTGGCTCCTGGCTTCGGATCGGCGCAGCTCCGGCCGTTGTGGCCATCTGGGAACCAGAGGGTGGAAGACCTCTCCCTCTGTTTCCACCTCTCTCTGCAACTCTTTCAAATAAATACAATAAATCTTAAAAAAATATATAATAGATAATTAGCTTGATGGTCAGTCATGTCACCAGAGGTTTCTTTTTTAGGAATACCAGTCCCAAGGCAGAAAATTCTAACTGCATGTAGCCCCCAGGCAGTGAAGCCCACTTTCCATCATAAAGAAAATGACATAGCTGATCAACCAAGGAAGGTCATGATTGCTACCAACCAGGAACTTGGGCAAATGCTGAATACAAACCTCTCATCCCAACTCTAATCATAAGAACCTTCACTGGTAACTCCTCTAGAAGACCAGCAATTAAATTATAGCTCCCAACCTCCTCTCTTTATTCCTCTTCCTCCCCCTCTTCTCCTCCTACTCCCTCATATTCTGTCTTCCAAGTAAATGAAAAAAAAATAAATTAAACATATAAACAACATGGCAACACCCATTTGAGTTAGAGTAGCAGACCTGAATAGGTTCTGACAAAGAATATATGCACAAGAAGTCTAACACGTATATATCTAGCGCTTCAAGATAAAGTTTGTTGATTCTTGCTACATAGAAAACTTAAGTTCATAGAAAAACTGTAAATAATCATCCATGGCCTTATTTATAACAGCCAAAGTTGGAAACAACATGAATGCCATTCAAAAGAAGAACAGTCAAGAGATGAAGTTACAGTCACAGAATAGACATACGGAGTACTTCAAAACTGTTAGGATTGATAAACAAATTCCACAAAGTTGCAAGATACGAAATTGACACCAAAAAACAGCATTTTTAGTAAAAGGTGGAAGATTTATACAATCTGAAGAGAAACCAGAGTATAAAAAGCAACATTTATATATATAAATAATGATCTCACTGAAAAAAAAACTTATTTACAAGAGAAATTCCATTTACAATAGCGAAAAAAATGAAATACCTTGGAATAACCAAGTGTATGAAAAACTCTATTATATATATATATATAATATATATATATGCAACCTCAGAGACAGAAAATTATGCCTCAAGTATTTGTGTCCCTCTAAAAACATGCAAGATCCAGATAGAATCCTGGGCTCCAGGATTCACTCTGGCCCAGTCCTTGCTAGTGAGGGCATTTGGAAGTAAACTAGTAGATAGAAGATCTATCTTTAATAAAATAAGAATTCAATCGATAAATAAATAAATAGATAACCTAATAAATAACAAATAAAACTTCAAAAAGAAAAAAGTGTTTTAAAAAACACAGAAATAGGTAGTCATGTGGCACAACAGATGTCACTTGAGTTGCCCACATCAAGTCCAGACTCATCTTCTTCCTATCCAGTTTCCTGATAATCTGTACTCTAGGAAGCACCGGGTGATGGCTTAAGTACATGAGTGATATGAACCAATCTATATAACATGATACAAACTCGATCTAGGAAGACCTAGATTGAATTTCAGGCTCCTG